CTTTTTTTCTATGGTGGCCTTACTTTTATGACTCTTCCCTTTTAAACTCTACTCCTCGAAMCTTTTTCTATCCAGCCTTTGGACTCTGAATCTGCCACTTTGGCTGTCACCAAGGCCATATCCAAAGACACACACACACACTTGCTGTATAAACACAGAAATTACGCAGAGGCAAACACACACCTCCTGTTTCAAGCTACACATTTCCAGCAGCCATAATTACCTTATGCAAATAAGATCAACAAATAAACTATCTCCTCCTGCCGGGCAACATGATATAAGATGCCAAGACTGAAATTTGGGAGCTCATTTAATTAGAGCGAATGTGATGAGAGAAACAGAGGGAAAATTCACCTACCGCTGCACAGCACTCTCAATTTTATACGTGTCTAATTTCGTATCCCTTATAGGCTGGAATCAAAGTAGCGAAGATGGTTCTTGGAGCATCTACCAGTAATGTCTTGACGTGTAGAAAAAGAAAGCCGTGTGTTAAATTGCCTGATTAAAGCTGAGCAGCAGTAACTGTCTGCAGAAACAAAATGATATGACAGTTGATCCGCTCCTAACTTTTACTTTTCGTTTCTAGAAATTACTTCAATTTTTAATGTTTTTTTAAAATTGTGGCCTAATTAGTGTGTTTCATTTTGAAGTGACACAGTATGTGGTGTTTGAGACTCCGTGTGTGACAAAGTTTAAAGCAAATTTTTAAGGTAATTTTAATTCGGCTCACATTGCTCTAATGGTGCATTGCAACTCCCGCCCCACAGGATCTGCGTTTTAAAGATAAAACAATTCTTGTAAGGATGTGGAGAACTCACCTACATTGCAAAAAATAAATAAGGTTTCCTATAGATCTAATCTTAAAGTGTATATATATATATATATATTTGTAAGGATGTGGAGAACTCACCTACATTGCAAAAAATAAATAAGGTTTCCTATAGATCTAATCTTAAAGTGTATATAATATATATATGATTTGAAGTCAATTTATTTTGGTAAATTGTACAATGCCAAACAGAGTTTTGTAATCCATGCAGCAAAGTTTCACTCTCTTTTTATCCATAATAATTAAGATGACATCCATTTTCTTCAAAGGCTGATCCCAAGGAGCTGATTCGATTAGTCACACAGCATGTGTCCTCGTATTCTGACTGGCCAGAGGAGCTGCAGAAGTTAATCAGCCAGCTGCACGTCTACAACGAACGTCTGACAGACTTCACCCAGGCCCAGGTGTTACAGGGACTGGGCCGCGGGGTCGACGTACAGCGCTTCAGCTCTGATTCTGATTATAAGAAGGAGACTATCCTTGGCCTCACAGAGTAAGTGTTATTATATAGGAGGGATGTTATAAACGTAGCACAAATGTAAGAAAAATATATGTTTGGTTGATTATTTCTTTGTTTTAACAATATTTCTTAAAGGGAACCTATAATGCAAAATTGACTTTTTAAAGGTTTTTTTTTACTCAACTTTGGGTATGTACTTATTGAAAAAATAGTCCTAGGACCAAAAAAATGCACCCAGGGGCATGCTTACTGTAAGTAAATGTATTTTTAATGTATATTAACGGCAAGTTTTATACTTCCATCATTTTGTGATGTCACAAGCCGTACGACAACCCACCGGAACCTGCGTTCAGCCCCTTACCTTGCAACCCCCGGGTGAAGCTCCACCTCCTCAGTATAAAAAGCCGTCACGGTGTTGTTGTGTAATGCGCAGCTCATCTCACAACAAGCCTTCCAATAGGGCAATGGGTAGAGTGTTGGACCAGGGAGTGGGAGACCAGGGTTTGAGACTGGCACGGACACAATTTTATTATTTATTTTCATTCGTTATGAACACGTTTTCTCATATACCTCTATTGTTTAGCTTATTAAAGCCTATTTGTTCGAGTTTCTGASGAATTTTGACCGCTGCTGCTCCCTGCTCTGGTAACAGAGCGCGGCGCAGAGGAGGGGGAGAAAAAAAAAGAAACTGCGACCATGACTCTGCCTCTGGGTCTCACTCAGCCAGGGTCTCATATGGTTGTACAACGGAGCTTCTGCTATTATTAGCCATGCTAATGTAAATGCTGGCTTTGGAGGGCGGAGTTAATGTCAACGGTTTTTTGGAGGGCGTTACCAACAGAGCTCATTAACATAAACAGCTCTTCTGAACGGAAGTCAGAGCAGGCAGAACTAGAAAATGGGAAATTATATTATCTGAGAATTATTTTGTGCATTAAATTGAATGAACATGGTCTGGATAGCCCACAGACATACCATAAAAATTTCTAGGACCCATAATTTGTCTCCTTTAACAATAAATCTTATACATTTAGAAAGTGTGTTTACGTCTYGTAAATGGTGCCACATTTGTTAATAAAATACATTTGTTGTTTGAGCAGTGTGGGTTGCCCCCATAAGAAAATGACCAAATCTTGTCTGCCATTGCCAAACAGCTTACTCTGCTACCGAGTCTTGTTTTGACCTTCTGCCACCACAGTGGCTGACAATGAGGCACCAATCAGAGACCTGATTGTTACACCCCGCCCTACTCGTCACATTCAACAGACTGCAAGCTTGTTTGTCCTCGGAGAACACCACACATGCTGGGATATCTGGCCAAGACAATCCAACATGTTGAATATCCCCAGTTTGACATCGGAGAGGTCTTGATGTCCTTCTGAGCCGACTAGATCACTCTTAACTTAGAGACATCTCGTAAGATTATGTTTACAGCCATCACAATAACTGGAGCAGCCTWAAGATTGTTGGAATGGCAAAATCASGCCAAAGATCGGCATAATAATTATACCTTGTGAACCAGGCAGTAACAGAGGATTTGTCAAGTTTTTCATGGTTTCAACTCACATAATCAACACTGCTGCTCAATCCACAAATTTATTTCAMTTACAAAGTGGCACCATTTTAGGGGAAATAAATAGACTTTCCATTGGATGCAATTTATTTATTGTAGCGTAACAGTAATAGMTTTATATTTTAAGTATTGTCACAAAGAATTACATGACCAATGTCCATCATTTTGTGTTAAGTAAATGTGAATATTGTGGTGGAAGGTGTTCTGTTCTGTAGTGGATTTAATGTAATCAGTGCGGTGTATTCCATTTAGTTTGAAACAGTTTTGCAGCACATATGCATATGAGTGGGAGTAATTGTCCTCTGAGGGTTCTCAGTATCAAATCTGATGATTTTCTTCCTGTCTGCTTGTGTGTCTGTGTTTAGAACTCTGGATGACGGTGTGTACAGAATCGCCCTGTCGCTGGCGAAGCGCTACAATGTTCCATTGTGGGAGGTCTACATGACTCACCTCGAGTTCCTCTTTACAGACAGCGGGTACACACACACAAACACCAACACATTAACTCTCATTGTGTTTTTCCTCTTTTTTTCAGTTTTCTATGTGTTAGAGTTCATTGCACTTCTGTAATCTCCTGAATTTCAAATGTTTACCCTGTACACATGTTCCGAGAACACACTTCAGTTTTGAATTAATACCATATAGGATCGTTGTAAGTTTTTTGTGTGTGTGAACACACACATATCTCTTGTGTATTTTGCATGTTTGAATTGAGCTAGCAGCACAGATTCTGACAGAACTACTTGAAAAGCATATTTAAAACCCCAGAGTTATTATAACGCATTGCCGACGTCTATGTTTACGAGTGTGAGAGGATACGAGTGTATCGGAGACAATTTTCATAATTTATTTGCTCGCTCACTTCATAGCTAGTGCATCTGACTGGTGCTGCACCTTGCATTATTTTAATAGAAAGCATTTTCAGCAGAGTTGAGAACTGTGTGTGTGTGTGTTTGTGTGTATTTGCTGGCAAACGTGCAAGCGTGTGAGATAAATATCCCCTGTTGTAATCTGATATAAGGAAATGGTTTATGGACTACACGTAGCCATAAATTTCAACACACACCTTCCTCTAATGCTCCCATAGCTTCTTTGTGTGTGTTTTCACCRAAATCTCAAGATCATGACAAATCTGTGAAGGCTTTTCATACTATAATCCTGACCAGAACCATCTGCAGTATGTGTATTGATTTAATGGATGGATGCAGGAAGTAATATAAATGGTGCAAGAGCAAGAATTTAAAGGGAAAGATGTATAGGGATATAAGAGTGGGTACAAAATGGAATTTTGACTTTTATTGATCCCTAAAGGAATGAAAAAAATATAAATTTTTCATTTCAGTCATTTGACTTGTTTAGCACCAGCAGCAGCCTGGTTGTTTTGTTTTGCATGATGCTTAGSAATGAAGTTGAGCACTAAGGTCAGAGTTTGAGTTAGCCTTGTCTGTTCCAGTAAAAAAAAAAAAGAAAATAAGTATTTTGTTTGTCAGTTTTGATGTTTTTTTAATTGATAATCAAAATTTACTTAACCTTGCCTGATGTGTTATTTATAGCAYTTGTTCCCAAAGATGAGGTTTAAGCCTCACTGTGGGTCATGAACCATCAAGTGAGGGGTCTTGAGAAGATCTACGTAAATCAAGCAAATGTTACAAATGATTGTAAATGGCATGATTAGCCTTAACGGTTTCCAAAGAATAAAAATGGTAAGCATAAATGCACTAAGCATTGTTGCAGTTCATACTGCAAAATGTTTTTACTTGGATCACACTAAATAATTTGACAGGTAAGTGTCATCTCAAATAGAATGTAGCACGTTGTGCTCTTGCCAGAAATTRTGTTTGTTACATTGTTGTCAAAACAGCTGCCACATTTTATGAAGGTTTCCAATTTCTTGTCCTTCTAATCTATGCTAAAATGTTCTGCAACCAAACTGACAAATTACCACACTTCAATACTGGTATCACACAAGACATAAATTTGTCATTGTCACCAAGCCAGGTAACATTTCTTTAGTTTGTGATCTGCGCTGACAGCATACAGCATCATTGTTCTTCATCTTTTTTCAGTATAAAGCCAAGGTGACCATTAACTGTGACGGGTGCTCAGTGTAGGTTTGAGCCAGTTGGTGTTCATGCATTAACTCAGAGTGTGAGTACAGTGAGAACATACCTGRTCAGTCTCATAATTTGAGACACAGTATGCTATCTTTTTTCTATTTAAATGTGTGCCTGTTTTATTATTAGTTCTACAATTGTGGCCTATTTTCTAAAACATCTCATAGGAGTCACTTGTCATTTTAAGTTACACATTATAAGATGCTTTTCCAGAACGAGCAATAATTATTTAACCAATCAATCCAAATGACCAACCAAACCAACTCAAACCAACCAACCCGTTCAATCAAAATRAGCAAACCAACTAACCTAGTCAAACCAACCCAACCCAATCCAATGACTGAACCCACCAATCCACCAACCAACCAAGACAATCTATCTCAGTCAGTTGATTCAACCCACTAATCAGTCTACAAAAGGGACAGAATAATGCAGTCTGCACTGCAGGGAAAAATATCCTGAAGCTCTGAGTAGATGTAGTTTTGACATATATTACTCAGTGTCTTTCAATATTTTCAATATTTTATTTTCCCATTTCTTGGGAGTAATGTGGCATTTTAACACTTCTTCCCTCTGTATACACCTACAAGTAGCCTGGTAAAAACCAGACCCTTGTTCTTCACTTTAGGCATTTACGCACGGCAGGGCCGGCCCCGGCTCAGCCCTAATTCTAATCCGGGTTCGGCGGTTGTGCATAAGCATAGTAGGGCCGGATCCAGCCCAAGTTCTGGAACCTGGCCAGGAGAGGTTCCAATCGKGCTGGCCCGGTTTGACGACTTATTTGTTTTGCTCTAACGAGTCAAAACGAGTCTGGCAAGTCATTAAAAAACATATAGATCAATGAAAAAGCAATTGCTTTCACAACGGTAGCATGTAACAAGCTAATATTGCTAGCTTACTCGTCGATGCCGTCTGCGTCTCGCCGGTAGCCGCTATCTGTTGCTGTTGTATGGCCAAGTACAGCCTTCGGAAACTCTCCGCTCTTCTGCGCATCACCATTCGTCGTCTCACTCGACATTTAAGGACCGTTATGGACGCTTTTCCAGTAAACAGTTCCCACCCACTTTGTGGCGGCTCTGATGACAATGCAAAACATCCAGGGCTGGGCAGGGCCGGACCTAGGCCATCTGGGGGCCGGGGCCGGCCCTGCAGTGCGTAAATGCCTTTTGCTTCATACTAGGGTCTGGACTCGCGGCTATAGAGAAGCGATTCTTGTTGGARGCGTGGCCTATGTTGAAGTGTCCCTGTGAAGGAAGCTAAGCTAAGAAGCTAACCGAAAATCACGTGCGCTGTAAACAACCCTACTGAGAGGAGAAAAGTACTGAGCTGAACGAGACGACTGTAAATGAGAGCTGCTGCTTTGTCAGACAAACTTAKTTTAATTCAGAAGCCTTATCAACATGGACTGGCTTCCTTCACTTCCTCCACTGCCCTTGCTAAACTAGTAGACACTGCGCAGAAAATCGATGTCGTTTAAAACTCCGCCTTCTGTTTGCTGATTGGTCCATGTAAAATAAACTACAAGCAGACACTGTGCAGAAAATCGACGTTCTGTTCTCTGATTGGTTCGGCTAAAAATCTGCCAGCGAAATCCTTGTCTATGGGAGAAATCCCAGACGGTGCAGTGAAGGGAAACTAGAATTGCGCGGAACTGCGTAGGAAGGCAAGGGCTAGGCTGCACTTACAGTGCAAAAAGAGTATTTTAAGCCCAGGTTTGGCAGAATTGTTTTAGTAATTTTAGAAACATAGCAAAAACAAACACTATTCATTCTAATAGCAATGATATGCTGAATGGTTACCTCTGCTCTGTCAGAGCTTTCCTGCAGTTTAATCCTAGCTGTCTGATTGCCTCTTCCATTGAATGTGCCTCTGAATGAACAAAATATTAGGGAGCTATTTTTTGTTTGTTATCTCATGCATCACGTTTAAACCGAATATGCTAATGTAAGACCGGGACGAAGTGAGGAATGAGGCATGAGAGGAGCGGCACACTGATCAAATCAGATTAAATTGGCTCCTTGTTCTGGCTGGCTTTTGAGACAAACAAGAGAAGATTTTAATAACAAGCYTCTAATATTACAGCCACATGAACACAACAAAGACGGGGAGGGAAATTCTATGGTGTCCTTAGAGATGGAGATGCTGCCAGGGGAGCAGCAGTTTCTAAGCCAGTGTGCAGTAGACTAGTAATAAAGCTATCAGGGAGAAATATGCTCACCAAGGAGATGCAGAATGCCATAGAGAATAGAAAGAAATAAAATGCTCATATCTTGAGCAAAAATATATATCTCTGTTAAATTATGAAAAAGGAAGGCATGGTCTTAGGAAGACTTGGCAGCAAAAGCAGCAATTGTTAAACAGTTTTGGTTATCTGTATTTCAACACCAAAGCTCATAAAATTTCTGCATTAATCTCCACAAGCCGTCATTTCTCCTGTTCCCCYGCCTGGTGTTCTGTCACTTTGGAGGTGAAATGAGTCAGCAGTGGCTTGTCAGACTTTGATTGGCTTCCTGCGTGTGTGAAAGAGAAAGAAGCAGCATTCAGGACACGAACAAGAGAAAAAAAAAACGAGTTTTCACTTTGGATTAGTTGCTCACTCTCTTGATTCTTAGCTTTATTAGACTTCCTGTTGTGAAGATGATTAGTCTTATTTACATTATTGAGTTTATTGTTGGGGGTTGCACTGCTGCTCCTTCCTATTTAAGTTTTTCATTAGCAAAAACCCTCCTAGCCAGCTACAACAGAGAGCCCCAGGGAAGCTTTGTCCACTTTGATGTTGTCTCATTCTGACAGATAAACAGRATTCCTCTCCGACTGCCACAGATTGCTCAAAGCCCCACTGAGACCACCRGCAAGCAGCTCGACTTTGCCTGTTTAATCTGTGTGTCTCCCCTTGTTTGACTGTTATAGTTCTCCAGGGKTTTTTACCCCTATTTGTGCTGTTTTGCAAGCATTCATTTCATTTTTGTTGTCTCTTTTTAAACCACTTGTTGTTGACGTTGCATCTGGTGGCATCACTCGTGTTTAAGGTGTTTCCATACTTTAATTCACCTCTGTCTTTATTCATTTCCTTCTTTTGACCCAAAGTTTAATTTCCTCTCTGCTTCTCTTACTCTTTCTTCTCCTTTTTTAGAATGTTTTTATGTCAAACTTGATTATATTCTTAGCTGTATTCCGAGGAATGATAAATAAAATCCTCTTCTTTTGTCATGAGGGTCTGTATCTTTGCTGATAAGCCTGAATAGCTGGGCTGTTTTCTCATCGCTCAGAAATGAGTTTGCAACAAACACATCAGTGCTGGTTGTCCACTTTTTATTTGTTAATGAACATTTTCTGTTTTTTTTATTTTGTTTTAGCATATTTCTGCTTCAAACTTTTGGTTTTGATGTCATAAACCTAAAGTGTTTTCATTGCAGCCACTTGGTGCATTTTCATTTTGCACCAAGGAAGTTTTTATAGCTGCTYTTATGAAAGCACAAAACTTCTAATACAGTGGATTATTGGATCAGTTACTTCWTGTGTTTATTGTGCAGTCATGCACTTGTGGTTGTATTATCTGCTCATTTTTTTTGTTTTCTTCTTCCCCCTCTTTTTTCCTTGTATTCCTTTCAGCCTTTCCACCAAAGATATCGAAGCCCGAAGTGATCACCTCAAACTGTTTGAGACTCTAAAATGCAACCCTGAGGATATGTACAGCCACATGAACAAATATGTTCTTCCAAGTATAGAAGGATCAGACTTGGGCCGCCTGCTCTACTACTACACCCTAATAGATGCTGCGGGGTGTGAGCCTTATGTTACCACCACCATAAAGCCAGACTCTCACATCAAATTGCTGAAGAAGCTTCGGGCTGTTGCCAACGGTAAGGCTTACACTGTTTTCTTTTATTTTTCTGGAAATGGCAAATCCACTATATAACCTTGTGAATGTTATGAAAATGGAACTCCAATGACTTGGTGAGTACTGCATAAYCTGCCCCAAAACATCATGACAACACATAGAAATACCGTTATAAATTATTAGGAAAGAAATGTTCTGTACGAGTTGCCTGCGATTCAGCTGTAGGCCAGTAGTGGGCGTACCAGACTCTGAAGAGACGTGTATATAAGCCGGAACTTCGGTTTGCTTTGGAGCGTTGCTTGTTTGCTGCCCTGAGCTATAAAGCTCTGCTCAGAATCCAGTACTGGGGTTGTATGGTCGATTCTCTTCACATTTTAATCTATTCAACATTTATGTGGTTTTGTCTCGATTTTCAGTTACCGAACACCAAAAATTCTTACAACCTGGCAGCACTTTAAGCCTTTAAGTCAGGCGTAGTTTCTTCTATTTTAAAGAACAAACAGGATAAAATTGTTTCTACATATTTATTATCATTCAGGTCAAAGAGGCTTGAATTGAAAGAAGTATCGTTGCTGTTATTTGCATGAAATCGGCATCCAGCTTTGAATGTCAGAAAATCAAGTTAGGTGTTAAAATCGTGAACTTAATCCCTCATGACATGACTGACTGCTTACATACAGCTTCTGACATTCTTCTAACCACATCAACTGAATGCAAAGTTAAAAAATCCAATTCTTTAATWTTTCCTCTCTGAAGAAAAGATAAAACACACCTGATGACATCTCTGCACGTTGAGAGTTACACATTTCATCTTTTATCTCTCTTTGTCCCTTGATCTTATTCTCTCCTTTTCTCTTCTCCCCCCCCCCACCCAAAATCGGCTCACGCAACACTTTCCCCAAACTGGGAAAAAAAATCAGAGCTGAAATAGACTGCAAAACATTTGCCTGTGGATGAAAATGACACCCATCCACCTGTGAATTACTAGTCAATTCACCTGACACATTAAGTGCCGRAGTGACACGGTTTAAGCGAGTGCAGTGCGAGGCATGTCACCTGTTTGGCGCTCAGCAGGCAGGACTCAAACTTTTGTTGTGTATGGGTGGAAATAAAAAAAGGACTGTCATTTCTCAGCAAAGTTCAGTAAAGGTCGGCCGAGTGTCGGACGTGTTTTCATGCCTGGCTTACTCCTTCTGCTCCTGTTAGCGCCGCAGCTTTTACCAGTGACACATGCCTCTGTTTAACACACACGCACAAATCACAAACGCACTCTTCTGATGGATCCGCATCAACATTTAAATAGTTTCATGTTCAGTTTCCAAAATGTTGCCAACTTAAAGCTTTTATCACCACTGCTCCATTTCGGTGTACATTGTGCCAACTATAACAGGCAAATCTACCCTAGCGGTTTTAAAGTAAATGATTTAATTAAATTTAGCTAATATGACAAAAAGCAATGGGTAGATTGTTGTATGTAGATATTCACCTCCATATTCAAATAAAATACAAATTTTGAAATTTTCACATTTAGCAGGCCATAATTGTTGTTTATTTTTTACTGCCTTTTTTTTGTTTCTATATTTGCTTATATGGTTTGATTATGATTTTTTTTAACGTGGCAACTATTCCTTAGTAAAAGGCAGCTGTATAGCAGAAATTCAGTGCTTGTGTAACGGTCATATTAAAAACTGTCAATTTTGATGACTGTGTTCTAAAGCAGTGTTTCCCAAAGTTGGGGTCGGGACCCAAAGTGGGGTCCCAAAACATCAAGGTGGGGTCCTGAAAAGATTTTCGGAATTAATTACATTTTTGCCTTAGTTGTTACAAAGGAGTGAAGTTAGTGTATTTAAAATGGATAAATGTAGTATAAAAATATAGTTACTATGCCCATGTTTAGCTGACCTGAAATGTTTATCATCCAAAAATAGTTGTGGGCACAGGTCTCTGCTACTGTTATTTTGTGGGTCAAAGGCTGAAAAGTTTGGGAACCAGTGCACTTTGGTTCCCAAAGTTGTGCTTGGGACCCAATTATGGGTCATGAAGCACCTTGGATAATCTCCAGAAATCAATTTAAAGGGTAATAAAATAATTGCTGATGTAATATCTTCCCTATAACTATTACAAAAACACACAATAAGCATAAATAATTATTTATATTTGTGTACAAGCTGTTTAGATTGTCAAAAAGCCTGTGTGTTTAGGGTTATTAACAAAGTTTGTGTACTCAGATTATATGGGGTCACAAGTTTTTGCCATGGATATTTTATGGGTCAGAAGACAAAAAGTTTGGGAACCACTGTTCTAAAGTACAACCACAATATATCACACATAGTTGTTTACTCACCAGAATTAGAGGAAAAACTTCAGTTTTTTTCTAGTTAACCGCAGCGATGAAAAGAAGACGTATAGATGCTAATTGCATATTCGCAAGCTCAAAAGTCCATCTGGCTAATTTAAMAACCGACTTCTGCTGTGGGAGCAGATTGTTTTTTTAGGAAGCATTCACACATGATAGTCCAGTAGCCTCTGTTCGATTGGGGACCGAAATAGCAAGATTTATTTTACATTTTCAATTGGTGAGGTTCGCATTCACACTGCACTTTGTCAAATGAACTAAATCCTGCAAAATGTAAACAAACATGGAGTGACGTCAGATTTTAGTTAACCTGGTAAAAACCAGACCCTTGTCCTTCACTTTGCTTCGTACGAGGGTCTGGACYCTCAGCTATAGAGAAGCGATTCTTGCTGRAGGYGTGGCCTCTGCTGAAGTTTACAATGATTGGATCGGCTGGCTGCAATGTATGTCGCTGTGAAGGAGGYTAAGCTAAGAWGCTAACYGGAAATCGCGTGCGCTGTWAACAACCCTACTGAGAGGAGAAAAGTACGAGCCGAACGATATGGCTGTAAAAGAGAGCTGCTGCTTTGTCAGMCRAATTTAATTTAATTTAATTTGGAAGCCTTATCAACACGGASTGRCTTCATTCACYTCCTCTACTGCCKTATGCTAAAATAACTAGCAGACACTGCGCAGAAAATYGACGTCGTTCAAAGCTCCRCCTTCTGTTTGCTGATTGACCCTGGTAAAATAAACTACAATCAGGCACTGCGCAGAAAATCGAGGCTCTGTTCTCTGATTGGCCCGGACGAAAATTCTCCCGAAGAAATCCTTGTCTATGGGAGAAATTCCGGACAGAGCAGTAAAGGGAAACTAGAATTGAGTGGAACTGCGTAGGAAGGCAAGGGCCAGGCTAGATTTTAGTGGTTGCAGAATTCTTTTTTTAAATTATTTGCTTTTGGTAAATGTGCCTAACAAATAGTCTTCAGTGAGCTCACCATGAGCGGAAGATGAAGCGGAACCGCAGAGAATATTGTYTTCCACACAARGCRTCTGAGACGGCTCCATGTGAGGCAGCGTTCACTGGGAAGGAGCACATCCAGCTTCACAGCAGTGATGTTCACCTAATATAGACACTGAGTAAGGTACTTACAAAATATGAGCAACTTTTTTTTTTACTGTTATTACTCAGAATGTCCTGTATTATAGTCCACTTCCTGCTTTTGGAGCGGTCTATGGTTTGCTTGACGTTCACACATGCAATCAAACCACACCAGAGTTCACTTTAACCGAACCGAGACCTAGGTTTAGAAGCAGACCAGAGTTAGCTTTTTTGGTCCAAATCAGAGTTCTATTACACATTTACACCTCCCCAAACGAACCAGACTTTCTAGGCAAACAAACTAGAGTTTGATTAGCGAACTAAACAGGACTGGTGTGAATACACCCTTAGTGCAGTTAACCTGGCTAACCTAACCTGGAAATTTGAGCCCTTTTACAGTTTTTCCTCTACAGAAACAAACGCGCCCACAAGTGTGTGTCCCAAAATAATGTTTTCCCACCAGAGGATGCATCACAAAGCCTGAAAAATCCTGAAGCCTGTCTAAAATTAGTAATTGGGAGGATTTGATTTTTTAATGTATTTTTTTAAATTAGGGTTGCATTATACTTAATGTGCATTATACATGAAAAAGTACGATAGTCTTTTAGTTACTGGAATTGCTAGTTGGTGTCTTTATGGACTCTTATTTATGCATATTTTAAAATCAGTATTTTAAAAATCTTTGCACTTCAGCCTGTGAGCATTCTGTTTCAGCACAGGTCACCTATTAGGTTGAGCAGTCTTTGTCATTTCTTGACATTACATGGTCTTATCTCTGGCATGGAGGTTGGTGGCTGATTTTCACTCCGTCAACCAATGCTAGATCTTTATTCCAACTTTAGTGTTCCCCACGCTCAGTCATCAGTCAGAGCTGTTGCTTGTCCCAGTAGGTAAGCCGCAATTAGACATGTTCAGTTCCGGTGAGGGATTAGGTAATTGATCAGCTGTAAAGCTGCTGCAACATAAAACTCTGACATATGCACACTGACACCTTCACTACATCAAATAGATTTATATTCTGATATATCAGCTGACTTTGTGACTTTACCACTTGCACTTTCTGCACTGAATCTCTTTCTAACACTTAAACACAGTTAAAATAGAAACCACATCACTCACACACCCTGCAGTAAGATTGAAACACAGGCTGCTACTGTGTCTCCAGGGCCAATAACCTTCTGCTAACATTGTCAGACACACACTCATTTGACTCAATTACAGGAACACGTGAAAAAGCACATGGCCAGATGTCCTCACAGAGGCAGACAAACAGTAAAGTGGCAGGTGGTTTGCATCCAGTATTTATCGCAATTTCAGACACAGCACCAGGTGACTCTCTGAGTGGACTCTGACAAGACGCCGCTCCTCGGAGATGAAAACCGAARTAGAGAGCGAGGGGATATGGGTGGGGCAGAGCCAGACAGAGAAAATCAGGGTACATGTGTAAGTGCATGTAACTCTCATTTGTGGTTAAAGTGTCTGTCTGGGCCTGTCTGAAAGTATTTGCGCGTGTCGGTGTGCTCAATTTGCGAGGTTTTATGCGTGCGTGATTCCTGTGTTGACGAAGCCCTTCCCGCAGACAGGA